TGCCGCTTTGCATGGAATGGCACTTACGTGTCACATTGAAGGTTCCGTGGTAACCGCCATATGAACACATCTGCGGATGTTTCAAAATTCTAAATTTTACCAGTTCATGTTAAATGTTCAATTCTGCTTAAGCCGGTGCTAGGGGGCGTGGACGCCGACGGTAGTTTGCACTTGACAGTACCGTCCATGAACAAGCTCAATCAAACCGAGCCTGCAACATTTTCAATTGTGCCGTGTTGGGCTTTCTTTAGGGATTCTTATTTCTCTCTATTTGATCAAAACATGACTTTGCTACCACACAAACATGGGGGGGGGGGGGGCTATAATGGATTTGTTTTGTCGCGTCGGTCGGTCGGTCCAGCTGTCCGTCCGTGTCCATTATCGTGTCCGTTCTATAAATCCTATACCAATTGAAGAATTTTCTTCAAACTTGGCCAAAATGTTCACTTCAACAAGGGAATGTGCAAAACCTATGTTGCCCATGTGTCAGCTCAAGGTCAAGGTCACAATTGAAGGTCAAATATCAAACAATAAAAAAGACAGTATGTCGTGTCCGCTCTGCAAGTCCTCCACTAATTGAAAAATTTTCTTCAAACTTTGCTAAAATATTCACTTCAACAAGGGGATGTGCAGAAACCATGTTGCTCATGTGTAAGCTCAAGGTCAAGGTCACAATTGAAGGTCAAATATAAAACAGTGTGTCGTGTCTGCTCTGTAAGTCCTACACTAATTGAAAGATTTTCTTCAATCTTGGCTCAAAAGTTCACCTCAACAAAGTTTTGTGCAAAACCCATGTTATCCTTTTGTCATCTTAAGGTCAAGGTCACACTTTAACGTCAAAAATGCAAGTCTTCAAATTTACATACAATCAAATATTTGACAATAATTATGTCGTGTCCGCTCTATAAATCCTATACAAATCGAAGAATTTTCTTAAAACTGTATTCAAATGTTCACCTCAACGAGGTTATGTGCAAAACCCATGTTACCTTTGTGCCAACTTATAGTAAAGGTCACACTTTAAGGTTAAAAATTGACATGTACTTGAATATTTTTAAAACTAGAACAGATAATAATTTGAAACTTCAAATATTTACGAAGTGTCGCAAGTAAGATAAGTTTCATTACTAAAAAGCGTGGGGGTTTGTTTAGTATTTTGGCAAAGCTAAGTCCATTTTTATGTCTTTAAATTTATTTACTATAATATTTCTTAAACCAGAACAGATATTTACTTGAAACTTTAAATTTATATGAATGGTTACAAGCAAGCTCAGATGACGAAAATTCTATAATTCCATTGAATTATGACACAAGTTATGCGCCTTTTAGGCTCAGAAAATGTTCTCATATAACCATTAATACTTTAATGTTTTTTCAACTAGAACAGATATTCACTTGAAACCATATAATACGTATATGAAGGTTCACAAGTAAGCTCAGTATGCAAAGTTTTCCACTCTTTACTAAATTTTGACATAATTATGCTATTTTCTTACCTTCACTGTTTTTGTTTGTTTCCATGAACAAGCTCAATCAAACCGAGCCTGCAACATTTTCAATTTTGCCGCGTTGGGCTTTCTTTAGGGATTCTTATTTCACTCTATTTTAGTACATTGGGAAAATGATGAAAATTTATTTGTAACTGTTTCGAACATGATTTGACAATATATATTATTACCCCTCACTTTTTTCGTAATTTCCCATAGGCCTCTAGGAGTTATTTTTACTGTTAATGCAAGTGTACCGCGAAACTAAGAATTTTGTACTGTTACATAGGTAACAGTATTTTTAACAGTAAAAATCTGGTCACGTGGTCTATTTTCTAAATAAAATGAAATAAAATGGCCGCCATTTTTTTCTCGATTAATTCTTATTTTCGACGTTAAACTCCGTAGGACATCAATTTCTTCTCTGGGTAACTATGACACTCATAAAATTTAGTTGTTTGCACCTTGGTGTGCTTTACGCGTATAAAATATCTTTTTGTTGAATAGTCAAAAAGTGAACATCCGTTTTCAACGGAAGTAATTGCAATGTATATAATTATGTGTCAAACTGGAATATGCAGACGATTTAAGCATGCAACAAAGGATTATTTAACAATTTTAATCAGTGAAACGTTACAGATATAGTGGACAGACATAGGATATCATCGTTATTTTGTCAAAAACCATGCTAAGAATATTCTGGAAACAGCAGGATCAGATTTCACAGATCATAACCGTGAAAATGGGTTAGTGTTTTGTTTTCTAAATAAAACCTAGCTTATTGTATGTTTATGATTTGTAGATATCATCACTTGCTTATAAAGAATAAAAGAAAACTTCTCAAGTAGGCCTAAAGTACACTTAAAACTTAAAAGGTAAGGACAGTTTAGTTATTGTTACTCTTGGTTTATTTTTGTTACAGTTAGATTTAGTTGACAATTTCAGATCATCACAGTATTTTTGTTCGGGGTAATAAAATAAAAAAACACATGGGTTTGTGAATAACAGTAAAAATATCATCCCACGTAAAAATACTGATACCCTCGGCTACGCCTCGGGTAACAGTATTTTCCTCGGGATGATATTTTTACTGTTACCCACAAACCCATGTGTTATTTATATACTATTACCTGTAAAATTTGTATTTTTTTCACCAGAGATGATTTCTTTTTATGTTTATGTATTTGTGCCACTAAAGTTATTCCCTCAACCACCTTTCCAAAGGACATTGGTGGGGGTATGAATCGCATTCAGCGATAGTTTTAGTTTATAAATGGATTAACTTCATATTAAGACACGTCATCTTTTTCTCAAATTGACATTGACTCATGTGAGACCTTGACTTTTCAGGTAAAATTATTTTATTTTCACTGATTATTGCTATTATTGGTTTTAACTTTGTAATTAATCAATTGATTATTTTCATACGTGGACAAAATTACCACTTGGACAAGATTTTTTTAAGGTTGAACTGACTTAGGCCTTGATCTTTAATTGGTTGATCGTCAAGATTAAAGTATTGAATTTTGGTTGTCATAATGTTGTTATTTTTTACGAAATTCATTCATATGTGAACAAAACAACACGTGGAATAATTTACATATGATCTTGAACTTTTAAATGACATTGACTGTGAAATGATTGAATTTTCATTAAACTTTCTTAACTTTGTCATTGATTTATGAATAGAATTCATACTTGGATATGAATTTTTATTTTATTTTCCTAACTTTGTCAAATATTATTGGAAAGGATTCATACTTGGACAAAACAGCAAGTTTGACTAGACAGACTTTTAACAATTAAAAAAATGACAAAACTTACCCATTCTTTTTTATATTTAAAAGGTTTGTTTTAAGTATTTATTTGAAAGCTCTTAGCAAAATTTTACCGCCTCCATGGTCGAGGGGTTAGAGTCGATGACTTCTAATCCAGTTACTTCTCTGGTGTGAGTTCGATCTCCTGGAGATGCTTTGGTACTTTAGCACGGAGGAAGGTAGTCTAGTACTTGTCCAGGAACGATGGTTAGAAATCTACTCGCCTATATGACTAAAATACTGTTGGGAAAAGGCGTAAAATGTAACAAACAAACAAGAAAAAGTTTAGTTAAAGGTTGAGCATTGCCCTAGCCGGGCGGTGGCTCTTGTTATATTAATGCGGCCATCAGCTTTTTCTGTTTGTTTGAAATACAATTTTAGTGTTATTTCATACGGTGGCACAAAGGTGACATGTGTGTGTTTTTATTTATCTCGTTGCCACGAGATACTATGTCGTGGCCACGAGTTACTAAGTCGTGGCCACGAGATAGTTAACTCGTGGCCGCGAGATACTATGTCGTGGCCACGAGTTACTAAGTCGTGGCCACGAGTTACTAAGTCGTGGCCACGAGATAGCTAACTCGTGGCCACGAGATACTATGTCATGGAACAAGTTAGCTATCTCGTGGCCACAAGTTAGCTATCTCGTGGCCACGACTTAGTAACTCGTGGCCACGAGATACTATGTCGTGACCACGAGATAGCTAAGTCGTGGCCACGAGATACTATGTCGTGGCCACGAGTTAGCTAAGTCGTGGCCACGAGATGAATAGCCAATCAGATTACACCATTTATGTGAATTTCCCTAATTAACTAGACATGTGATATAGTACAAGAATGCCCCTACTTTACCAGCCTGTAAGTGCCATTTATACAACTTATATTGACTTGTCAATAATTTTACATTTAGCGTCACTGTGACCCTGATTTTTTTACCCAATGATCTCTAAATTATTAGATGTCATCTACTGATCAGGTGCAATGATCTTTCTGGGTTATATTAACCATGTCTTATCCCTTTTAAGTCATTCATCAGACAAGGATTTTACCTTATAGGCTATCTACTGTTCATGGGCAATGTCTCTTACAAATAAAATAAACCAGGACTTATTCCTTCTCATGTTATCGTATTAAACAAGGTTTACAGGCCGTAGTACGTACAAACTGACCAATTCGATTACAAAATTGTCCCAACAAAGAGCTATAGTCCAAATTAATGTCTGATGGGCCTTGGAAGGTGACTTTCTAATATGATCCTAAAGACAAGTTCAAAGTGAATATCTTCAGTATTTTCAAAGATTAATGTTGCATGAAAAAGTAAGTTGTTAAGTTTAAAAAATCATAATATATATAGTGTATTCTGATTAATTAATTATCTCGTGGCCACGACATAGTATCTCGTTGCCACGACTTAGCTATCTCGTGGCCACGACTAAGTAACTCGTGGCCACGACTTAGTAACTCGTGGCCACGACTTAGTAACTCGTGGCCACGACATAGTATCTCGTGGCCACGAGTTAGCTATCTCGTGGCCACGACTTAGTAACTCGTGGCCACGACATAGTATCTCGTGGCCACGAGATTAATAAAAACCCACACATGTCACCTTTGTTCCACCGTAATTTCAGACTAATTATATCAGTTATTTTATCTTGGAAAATGCATCGTATCACTGTTAAGCTTTTTTCCAAAACAGCGTCCGAGAGCTATTTATAACGCGCCTGTGACGTTCGTTTCCAAAAATAAAAGATCGGGGTTTTACTTATTACATATAGAGAGTAGACCGACATCGTCGGAACCAACGGTACACATTCCGTATATACTACATTAACCGATACATGTATACGGTAAATAGCCTGGGTTACCGAGGATGGTAGACTGGTAGATCAGATATATCGAGGGGTTTCTTATTCAATTTGTTTATTTATTTTATCGACAGTAATTTTCATTTCCAACTGAATTGCTTTGAGATGAAAAGTATATGAAACGTTTCATCTGGAAATAAAGTATTTTACCTTGAGAAAAGCTGAAGTTCGCTTTCAACTGCTGTCTTGTATAAACATATTTTCATTTTTGTTTAATGTGCATTTTTTTCTTACATATTGCTATTTCAAACTTGTACTTTATATACCTTAAGTAAAAAATTTAAAAATGAACAAAAATAAGTGATTTGTATTAATATTGTGTTATCTTTGCATATTTAAATTACATTTAATTTATGTATTTAAGTTTACATATTTTATTTCTCTGTGTTTTTATAAAGCCTCAAACAGACCTCATAATAGAACCCAGTGCTACAGCTGTGATCATAGAAGTTCGGAGCAATCTGATATATCAGATCCTAGGTCGTGTACAACATTTGATTGGTGTCAACCTAATGAGGTAATCAATATCACTCGAACATTTTAGGTATTGAGTACCAGTAGCATTCGATCCGGTGGTAGTGGGTATTGCACTTTTTCATTATCACTCATGTACAGACTCTTTGTCCAGATTTTCAGAAATTAATAAGAATTTGTGGGGAAACAAAAATTAGTTATTTAACGGTTATACTCATGTCATTTTATATCATGATTAATTTTTCAGTCAAAAAGATTTTTAAATAGCAAAGATCCCACAGTTTCCAACGATAAAATTTCCGTTCACATTTTAAATAAACTCTAATAAATTTTAACGTACGTGTTATACTTTTTGATGCATACATACGACACCTTCAAACAAAGTAATAAGTGATTTGCATTAAAGTGATCTAAATTAGAATAATATGTTTATTTGATAATTTGAATACATTTAATGGAATGAAATTATATTTTAGATTTATAAACCCTCGCTTTTTTAATGTTAATTTCCCATAGGCCATGTGTACCACGTGATTCAAAATGTACAGGGTAACAGTATAAAAATCTGGTCTCATGCCCTAAAAAATTAACTGGTCGCCATTTTGTTTCCTAGATTCTACCTCTTTTTTATTTTAAGTTCACCACGTAGGTGAATAGTGGAGCATCACCAAAGTTACAATGACATGCAGAAAATTCAGTTGGTTGCATCCAACAGAGTGCTTTTCGCGTCTTAAATACCTTTTGGTTAAATAGTAAAAACGTGTGTATCAAAATGGAACAGGCAGACAATTAAAGCATGCAGCAAAGGATTATTCATTGAATCATAACAGATGTAATAGACAGATGTAGGATATCATCGTAAATAACCATTGTCGAACCATGTCATGATGTGATGAATAAATGAGCCGCGTCATGACAAAACCAACATAATGGGTTTGCGACCAGCATGGATCCAGACCAGCCTGCGCATTCGCGCAGTCTGATCAAGACCCATGCTGTTCGCTATTTCTTTATTTGTTATAGGGTCTGTAAGCGAACAGAATGGATCCTGATCAGACTGCGCGGATGCGCAGGCTGGTCTGGATTCATGCTGGTCGTAAACGCACTATGTTGGTTTTGTCGTGACGCGCTCATATACTGTTATGATTTTAAATGAACTTATGAAACACAGCTTTTTGTATGTATATGACTGGTACATGTAGATATCATCATTTGCTTTAAGAATAAAAAGGAAAATTTATTCTAAATTACACTTACACAAGCAAGGTAGGTGTAGTTGAGTTATCGTTACTTTTGATTCAATTTTGTTACAGTTAGATTTAGTTTAAATTTTTAAATGATAACCGTATTTTTTCGGTGTAATGAAATAAATAACAATAAGGTGTGTAACAGAACAATCATCACCCTCGTTATAAATATTGGCTAACGCCTCGGGTAACAGTATTTTCCTGGGGATGACATTTTGAGTTTTTCCCACATACCCATGTGTAATTTATTTACTGCTCAGCGTCTTGTTAAGCACCGATTTCTTTTCACTTTTATATAAAAGTAATATGAAATTAGTCGCAGAAAGCTTTAGGATTAAATATTAAGCATAACATGTGGTAAATTGCAATTGTTAAATATGTAAATGCAGGTATTTTGTACCGTAAACAAGAAACGAATTAATTGGTGGTGTTCAACCAATAATCAGAGTGCTCCGAATAATTCCGAAAATGCATAACAGTAATTTGATTGGCTAAGCGAAGCAAATGGGGAACACTGCGTCGGAGTTTGGAAAATCCCATCCGCCATTTTGATCTCAAATCACACTTGTTTTTAATGTGTTGATATATCAAAATGGATATGTAGAATAACTTTTTACATTTATCATCGCTACTATTATAAGTTCTTATCATTGAAATGTATGTTTATTTTCTGATTTTATACATCATTCTTTTACCGGAAGTACTTGGCGTTTTCTAGCAATAGTTTGAATTATGTAGACGCCAAAAAGCGCTCTGATATCTATATTTAGATCAAAATGGCGGCGCCCAGTTAACTAAGGATTTTTCTGTAACTCGTGAGACATATATTTTGTATTGATTTTAATGTGATATCGATTTAATTTATTCACGTCATACATGTTATCTAAGAGCGCTTTAGCTCTCTATAGCTGTAGAACTGGACAAATATAAGAACAAATATCAATAATCAATGCAAAGCGGCATTAAGAGAATGCAACCTACGACAAAATACAGTCACACTTGACTACCGCAAAGGCATTCAGTAGGGCACTGAACAAAAACAAGGAGAGGACACAAAACGTCTTGACATGGAGTGGCCGTACCTATAAATGATAACAATTGACAATTAAATATACCCCTAAATGTCAAAGCTATTTAAAATATTTTTAAAAGCAAGTGAAAAAACACAGTTGCATGTATAAAATGAATTTTTAGGGAATATCTGTGACTAATCAATATGATCATCGTTGAATCCTGGCAGTTTAATTTTTGACTTAAAAAGTAAGTTTACATTCAAAAATGTTTGAACGACAAATTTGCAACTAAAATGCGCTAGAACAAGCTATTTTCGTGTATTGAAATTTAATTTGGAACATACAAATTTAAACATTTACACAGTAATGAAAACTTACAGATGCGAATAAATGGGCATAAAAATAGCTCTGGACAGTCACTTGTCAAATCTCAAAATATGCACATAACCAGTTTATATCTTCAATAACTTCGTCATATCAGAAGCTGCGAGACCGAGTCCTTAAACCGAGTGTGTCATAAACATTGCTTTAAGGTATAGACATACTAAAGAATTTCAATATAACATACACACCCACTTACCCGAAGAAAATACGTTCGGATGTTGTAAATATTTATGACTCGGTAGCCATTTTGTCACGTTTGCAACCAATTTTCTCGCTTTAACCAAGTGTGCCTGTCCCTTGTTATTGCACTGTGTGATTCAGCAATATTTTGAGAAGGTCTCTGACCTCAAGCGATACGTTTTATCGGATAGGTCAGAGATAAAATGTCCCTTTTTAACTCACCTGACCACAAAGTGGTCAAGGTGAGGTATAGTGATGGGGCTTTGTCCGTCGTCGTGCGTCGTTCGTCGTCAACAGTTGGGGTTATTAACAGTCTATCAACCACAGTTTTTATTGGATCATCATTAAACTTTGTCAGAATGTCAGTCTCAATTAAATACAGATCGAGTTCTTAGATGAGTCATCTCGGTAAAAAAACTAGGTCACAGGAGCTTAAAATAGAAAAAAGCTTGTTAACACTCTAGTGGCTGCAATTTTGATCCAAATATTCTAGACATTTTCAGGAAGATTGTTTTGATGTTTTCTAGGTCAAGATTAAACATGGGTCATCTCCGATCAAAAACTATGTCACATGATCTAAAAAATGAAAACTCTTGTTAACCCTCTAGTGGCTTTAGTTTTGTTCCAAATATTCCTGAAACTTGTCAGGAAGGTTGGTTTGATGATTTCTAGGTCAAGTTTGTAGATGGTTCATGTCAGATCAAAAACTTGGTCACAGGGGCATTAAATAGATCAAGCTTGTTAACAGTCAAGTGGCTGCAGTTTTGATCCTTTCCTGGAAATTGATTTGATGATTTCTAGGTCATGTTCAAATATGGGTCATCTCCGGTCAAAAACTGGGTCACATGAGCTAAAGATAGAATAGTCTTTTTTACACCATAGTGGCTGCAGTTTTGATCCAAATATTCTTGAAATTTGTCAGGAAGGTTGTTTTGTTGCTTTCTAGGTCAAGTTTGAATATGGGTCACCGTGGGTCAAAAGCTAGGTCACACTGCCTAAATATGGAAACAAATCTTGTTAACACACAAGAGTTCACATTTTTGACTCCATTGTCATCAAATTTGATCTGGATGCGGACATTGCTCGGTCGATCTAGGGCCATCACGGCCCTCTTGTTTTGTCTTCTTGTTTTTTGGAAGAGCAAAGAAACATTATTGTCCTTGACCATCGATATAACAAATTTTTGGTAATATAAGTGCCAGATTGTTTTACATTGAAATTGTGTTGATGGGGCGGGAAGGTGGGTCACACGCCGTGAGGTTGGTGTGATATTTGGTATACAGTGTACTAAGAAAAGGAACAGCAGTATGGTACGCCCGTAAGAAAGCATGGCGGAGGCAAACTGAAGATGACGACTGCAGCTCAATTCTTGATTATCCAGGTTCGACAGTTAGCCTTGGTAATGACCCTCCAAATACTACTAGAATTAATGTCTGAAATAAGACGGAGCGTTAAATGTTGTACGATGGCAATGTAAATGGAGGCCTTTAAATTCCATTGATTCGTCGCCACCGCCAGGTTTGGTTTATATGGGCGATGGAGCATTTAAGGTGAACAGGACAAACAGTAGACATCTTCTATTCACTTATGAACATTGAAGGCATTGAAGGACAGACTGACAATCAATTTAATTTAATATTAAATGTGCGTTCCAACAGGGCCCGTGTCCACGACTTCCTGAAGAGAAAGGGTACTGAGCGCCTTGATTGGCCAGCTCTTTCACCTGACGTTATTCCAACAGAGCGTATGTGGAATGAGTTAAAGGTAGATATCAGCTCACCAGCTGTAACCTAGAAACATTCAGGAGTTAAGAGCAACGTTAATGCAAAAATGGAACACTGTCCTCGCTTTGACTGTCGAAAACCTTATAGGAATATGAAAAAGCGTTGCCTGACATTTTTCATGAGCACCAGCTTCTGTGTCTAAACTTGTTAATATAAGGAAGGTAATGAAACTTTGGAAACAACAAGGTCCAGATATCTTTTATATTTGAAGTGTTCTGCTTCTTTAACGCATAACTAATTCAAAACAGTGAAAATATGTTAACCTTATGTGGTATTAAAAATTCAAACCATTAATTATTTATTTATGTATTTTTAACTTTTTTGTAATTGATTATTTAATAAGTTTTTGTAATTGATCATTTAATAAGTTTATATTTATTTGTTATTTTTATTTTGATGTGTGCCTTTACATTTTTGCAGGTATGTTACGCAACTCAGACCGATTTTAATGGGCACAATACGTTTTTCTACGGTTGTTTAAGCAAATTGGTAAGGATATGATTTAAAGTCAGTTATCTTTTCATAGCACAGTTAAAAAATCCCAAACGTACTGAGTAAAAAAAAATCGACAAAAAAAATTCTTTTAATCTTGAAGGTAACTTCAAGAGTTTCATTTTGAAGTTAAATGGCTTTTGCTTTTGACTCAAAAAGACGGAAAATCATTAAATATCAAACCCACCTCTATTGCTCAAAATGAAGATATATTATATAATTATTATACGTGGCCAACTAAATAGAAATCTGTTATTACTTCATACTTCATATGTGCAAACTAAAATCAATAACTTATAATTTAGCAAAATATACATACTATGCAAACTTGCGAAATAAGTAGCCATCTTTAATGCATATCATATATTATACATGCGTTGTGCTCTTCTTTGTATTGAAAATTGTATTGCTGTGAAACATGTTGTTTTAATGCAATAAAATATTTGTAGTTCTAGTTATATTGTGGCTATTATTATTACTGATATGGGCTACGTTTGACTCAATTAAACTTTTCTTTATTGTTCAAGCAATGTCAGTTTTTAATGCAAAACGCTTACAACGATTTCAAATTGTGTGTTGCAAATCTAACTCAACCTCCATCTGGAATGACGCGTGCTCAAGCCTGTATCATGAAAGAAAAAAGTTCCATTTGTCACGCTTGTTGTGCGGATGAAAGGTGTAACTATGGTAGCTGTGAAAGTATACTTGGTGAGATGATAATTTTAAAATATGATGATTATTATATACAAATAAAATAAAGATAATATGTATTTAGTTAATTAATTAATTTATTTACTTATTTATGTATCTATTTATTTATTTATTTTCTGTCTTTATTTATTAAAGATCCTGTATGTTTTGTGATTGATATTGTTACTGTGTGTATACCACACTTGCAAAAAAAATATTTATATGTATATAATTATGCAAATAAAACAATTTTCAAACATCTAAGAATATGTCAAATGTTTACTACAAATATGTGTGCACATTATATTTAATCAATAAATTCCATGCATTCATTCATTTCTTAAATTCATTTCTTAATGGAAAATTTGACTTAGAATTTATAGAAAATAAATTTCTAATTACCTCCCTTTATTTACATGAAATGTTAAATAGGGCAATGTAAATAATGCTTATTGAAACTTACAAAATTGAAAAAACTTAATTTGAGCATCATATTTATGAAATAAAACCATGAAAAAATTGTGTTACAGGATCTTTAAGTAATTAGTATATTTATTTATTATATAAATTGTTTTCATTTTAAACTGTTTGTTAATATTGCGTTAGGTTAAATGCTAATAAATGTTTTATCTTTCTGTTTTCAAAACCTATTGTAAAAAACAAACTTTATAAATTTAATTTCGATAAAGGATTTTTATATATTATTTTAACTTTAATAATAATAATAAACCAAGTCGGCAGTTTTCACATAATCTTTGATAAATGTTACCGATGGAAGATTTTTATAATTGGATATACGCTATGTTTGTAAAACTTAATGATTTATTTTTTAAACAAAAAAGAAATCAAACATAAATTGGTTTTCTTTTTAAAGAAAGGATCTTTGTGTTAGCCCTGGATGGAGCGTTTAATATGACAACTCTGAAGACTGGGACTGCACAGCGCCGCCGACGCAATTGTCTCTGACAAACTTTATTGATACAAAAAATAAAAATAATCGAGATGTTTATATGTCATCTTATATGTTATATATCCATAACCACCTACGACACTTGAAGAGATATAAGTAGTTCTTCTAGTTAGTAGTCTAGGAACAGTGAAAGCAGTCCTGATTGTGATTGTGATTAAAATTGTCACGTCGTGGTGTAATTTTTTTCAAGTGGTTGTAATATTTAAACTGACCTTGGAAAATCTCCTAATGCCATGAAGAACGAGCATTTTAAAATTCGTTAAATATTCGTCAATTCAAAAATAACCATACCAATGTGTTTCAACCCACTTTCAAATAAAAGTACGCATATATTTTCGGTTAATCTCCTGTGAAGTTATCTTTTTAACTTTTGCGAAGACATTACCGGATCTTGTATGATTCTATTTGAATATCTGAGAATGTAAAAGAAGTCAAATTTGTGTGATATAAAATCGATATTATATTGCAGTAGCTTTTTAAGGCTTTGTGTGTTGCTATGAGCAGCGTCGTTATATCGATATCATTTTCCACACTTTGTAAAAGTAGCGAAATAAATGGCCCACACAAATTCTACAACACAACTCAACTCAACTTAAATATTTAATTTAAGTCTCATCTTCAATACAATTTTACATTTAAAACATATCTGAACATTCTAAGACTGAATTTAACTTCTATTCTTTTTTGTTTCACAAACAAAAGAATAGCTGTCAAGAAATAATACGCATGAATGACAGATTGAAGAAGAGGCCACGCCCTCGGTAGCATCGGTTCCCGTTTCCAAATGCTACGTTTTACAAAGATAAGAGGGGAACCATCGGATAAAAAAGAGGCCAGCACTTCGATGTTTGGTACCGTATTTGCCACTGACACTGGATTTTTCTATCATTATTCGCGCTTCATTGTTTTAGGTATATACTAAATCTTTTTCTTTTTGATGCAGTTTGTATCGGTTATTAAATACTGGAAATCACAGTTTTAAGCCGATAATCCAGTAGCTAACGTTATAAACCAAAACAGTCAATCTTCTTGTAAAATTACATTATACTTGTATTGCATGTATTAAAACAAGCTGATAAAAATGTTAAATTGGCTTGAGTATCAAAATATAGTACGATATAATTCATTTTATTCCAAAAGGCTCAGAGTAGCTGTTGGCGAAAAATTTAATATTGACAGTGTTGACATGATAACAAACTGAGACTCTCCACTATGTATATAGATTATGAAGTGTAATGAAATCAATCAATAATGTTTATACTTTCCAGTAAATTAAATAATTGCTTTTGTTGTTTTATACACATTTTCATGAATGATTCTTTGAAGAGTTTCAGTTTTTATAATTGCTGTACAAAGGAAACATTGATATATAATGTTAAATGTAATGTTAACCTTTGTGTATCTGTTCACTAGGTTATCGAATCGTTCATCTTAAATTTTAAGTTTGTCAAAATTATGACCAATTAGTTAAGGCGCCAGAGACCAAGACATTTCACCCTCGGGGCAATTTACTCGCACACCCAGAATCAAAATGTAAGACAAGGCTTTGGCTTCAAACCATTTTCCACATACCGATGTGAGTTCGAATCCTGTCAGAGGCTTTGGATACCGTTCTCGGTATTCATCTAGCTTCAGTAAGTTGTAACGACGATGGCTTTACTCAGGTCCTCTATCGTGTCTGGGAATCCACTTGTGGTATTCTTTCACCAGTAAAGCTGGAAAGTCAAAATATGCTTTGTAGTGAATTATGCAAAGTAAGACCAAATCAGAATAATGACCGTTGAAATTTGATTTTGAATTGTTTTCTTAAATACCGACAATATGAAAGCATACCAGCAAAATACTAAAAAATGTAACACTAGTATGTTCTGTTACAGGAAATGGCTAGAAAAATGTCTTTTATTACATGTCAAATACGCTTGAAAAGTAAACAGTGTTACATTATAAAGACAGGTGAATAATGCAGAGTAAATCATAGACCTAACAGCGTTGTGCTAATATATTTTCAGTTTATATCGAGATTGGTTATTGTATAGATCGTTTCCAAAATTACCCATGAAATGCGAGTATCACTTATATTTTCAATTTATACATTTCGATATAATTTATGTTTGTTTTAGCTGAATTTTTTTTATTCTACCATTTTCCTAGCACTTTCATTAATTCCAGTATTTCGACTGGGACATTTTGGAAAAATAATTCATAAAAAACGTGTATAAAAACGGTTTAAACAATAACAACAGCAATTATTCAATATGTCTGAAAAGTAGAAGCTTTTTTGTTTGATTCCATTACACGTTATAAATAATCTTTTCCTTTTCTTTTTTTTTTTCAAGCGGGAATTTCTTTTCGTGGGTTACTATTTTAGGTGCGTTTAAAAGTGGATAGACTAGTTTAAGGGGTTGTCGGTCAAAATATACAGCAGACTATTCTTTATAAAATTCACGTAGAAAATTACTACCACATATATAAATTATTTATTTTTTATTTCGTCGTATTTATTGTCTTTTTTCTCTTTTTTTTATTAAACAAAATTAACGAGCTCAATCGAGAAGCAAGACGACGAAACTAACACAAAACTAAATGTTTATGTCAAATAGCTCACTAGTCAAAAATTGTATAACTATGTGATCTCTTTAACATTTTACTGCATGAACATATTGTGAAAAAAAATTGTGTTTTTATTGAAAAGCCATCTGTTACAAGTTCAAACTGCTACGAAGGTATAAAAAATGTATCGATTCTGATCAAACTTGGCACGAATTCGAGACAGGGCCTTTGAAACAGTCTAAAATTTCCTGTTACCATGGCAACGGGGGACGTCACAAAATTGCCAAAAATCACTAGTTTGCGGGTTTCTTTTTTTTTACAGGTTTACAGCGTTGGTTACACGTTACCTTAAGATTTGGACCTAAATAGGGCATTTTCCACTATCTGAGTTTTCAAAGGGGGGGGGGGGTGAAAAGCTGCCAGATCACGTCTATATGGGGTATAATGGTTAATACGCCTTTGCCTTGTTAGCTTGTTTGTGTAATTGGTAGAAAAAAACAAAAAATAAAGTTTAATTTAATAAGTGCCACATTTTTACATTTCAAAATTTCATTTATCACATAAACCGCGGCGCAGGAGTGTAATAAAGCCATTAAATAAAAACGATATTACACTTGGCGATATTACACTAGTATAATAACACTTTGAGCTATAAACATAGCTATTAAAGTGCGCTAATGTTAGCGATACACTATAGTGTCAAAGAAAAATGACTAATTTTAACTTTCTTTCTTTCTATTTCGGTTTATTTATACTCGGCGCCGGAAATTCCATATGTCCGAGAATTTAGCAGCCTTGCCGGTCCACTAAGGTAGTCTCATCGGGGACGTCTTTGTCAAGCTGAATCTTCTTGTAGCCCATTCTTCGTTCGTTGGTGGTAGAGGAGTACGACAATACTGGGCAGGCATCATGTTCCATACTGACGATAACAAAAACGGCTCTCATTAGCGCCAACCCTCCAGAGTTAGTCACGACAGGTCAACCAATCACCTCTGGTACTTACGATGACTTGACCTTGACCTGCCGTGTGCCTTCTCTGCGACGTGCACGCCTCTGGAGTGATTTGGAGAAGTGTAATGTTAACAGTTTACCGTTCTTATTTTATATATGTGATAAATAGAATAATATTTTCGTGTAGATTCAATATTAAATTTATTGAACTCGTATTATGTTCAATACCGCAAGAGGCTCGCATAATGCCCGGTATGATTTTATTCAACTCGTTCAATAAATTTAGTAAAAAACCTACACTCATTCAACAACCTCTATTAATCGTATGTGAGAAGTTAGCAATGAGCTAAGCAAAAAGGCATTTCAATTTATATAGAGAAATCAATGATCTGCTGTAATACTCATTGGGCATCTAGCAGAGCATTCCTTAATTTAGTGAAAAAATGCTCTGCTGGAATGCTCAGTTGGCTAAGCAATCAGACAGGGCATACCTAAATAAAGTGTAAAATTGCTCTGCTGTAATACTCATGCTGTTTTGGCAATCTAGCAGTGCATACCAAAATATAGTTGAAAAATGCTCTGCTGGAATGCTCAGCTGGCTAGGCAATCTAGCAGGGCATTCCAAAATATAGTGTAAACTTTCTTTGCTATAATACTCAGCTGTCTTTGCAATTTAGCAGATATTGAAAAAATGCTATGCTGGAATGCTCAGGTGGCTAGGCAACCTGGCAGGGCATTCCTAAATATAGTGTAAAGTTGCTTTGCTGTGATACTCATGTGTCTTAGCAATCCAGCAGGGCATTCCTAAATATAGAGAAAAAATGCTCTGATTGAATGCTCAGCTAGCTAGGCAATCTAGCAGGGCATTCCTAAATATAGTGTAAAAATGCTCTGCTCGAATGCTTAGCTGGCAGGATATTCCAAAATATAGTGTAAAAATGTTCTGCTGGACTGCTCCGCCGACCAGGCAATATAGCTGTGCATTCCAAAATATAGTATTAAATTGCTTTGCATTAAATTCCGAGCTGGCTAGGCAACCAAGCAGAACATTCTGAAAAAAAGTGAAAATGCTGTGCTGGATAAGTAATCTTGTGGTGCATCCTGAATTATAGTATTAAAATGCTCTTCTGCAATGCTAAGCTGGCAGACTGATTCTGAGTTCCAGGATATATTGTTGTCAAGGTTTATTGACATTTTTAACTTCTAGGCACTTCTAAGATACTCGCAGACTTTAAGGAAATGTTGGTTCCAATAAAAATAATAAGACTTTTGACTTGTAGTGACCTTAAACAGGCTATTTTATTGTCCTGCGCCTTTTTCATGGACACTCGCAGACTTTCAGGAGTTTTCGTGCCAATGCAGATATTGACAATTTTGACTTCTAGGGACCCTCAAGAGTCCATTTTGTTGGTCTGCGACTGATTCTGGGACACTCGCAAACTTTCAGGAATGTTTTGTACCAATGGAAATAATGATATTTTGACTTCTAAGGGGCATTAAAGAGTCCATTTCATTGATCTGCGGCTTATTGTTGGACACTCGCAGAGTTTCAGGAATATTTGGTGCCAATAAAGATGATGGTATTTTTTACTTCCAGGGGCCCGCCAGAGTCCATTTTTCTGGTCTGCGACTGATTCTGGGACACTTATAGACTTTCAGGAATCTGTGATGCCAATGGAGATTCTGGCATTTTTGACTTTTAGCGACCCACCAGAGTTCATTTCGCTGGTCTGCGACTGATTCTGAGACACTTGCAGACTTTCAGGACTTTTTATGCCAATGGAGATAATGACATTTCTGGCTTCCAGGGGCCTGCCAGAGTATATTTCTTTGGTCTGCGACTGATTCTTTGGGGCTTGCAGACTTTCAGAATTTTTGGTGCCATTGCAGATCATGACAATGTTTTATTTTTTAGGACCCCTAAGTCAGAAGCAGAACATGTTTACATTAAAATGTCATTATCTGCATTAGCACGACTCTGTGTGGTCAAAAGATATCAAAAATGTAATAATCTCTATTGGCACCAAAAAATTCTGAAAGTCTGCTTGTGTCCAAGAATAAGTGGCAGACCAAAATAATGGACCCTAGATTGTCTCTAGAAGTACAAAAAATGTCATTATCTGCCTTGACATCAAAAATTCTGAAAGTCTGTGAGTGCCTCAGAATCAGTCGCAGACCAACAAATTGGACTCGGGAAGGTCTCTAGAAGTCAGAAATGTCATTATCTCCATTGACACCAAAATTCCTGAAAGTCTCCGAGTGACTCAGAATCAGTCGCAGACCAACGAAATAGACTCAAGAGTCCTTTAAAGTAAAAAATGTCATTATCTCCAATGGCACTGAAAATTTCTGAAAGTATGCGAGTGTTCACAATGAGTCGCAGACGAACGAAATGGACCGTGGATGGGCCTTAGAGCTAAAAATGTCATTATCTGCATTAACATAAAAAATTCGTGAAATAGGCTATCAATCCATTTGTACTAAAACCTTGGACGTCTTCGAGGTTGTCAGTCACAGCAGCAGACGCAGACCAGTGAAATAGATTTCGCACAAAAATTAACATTTTCAGAGGCATTTGAATAACAGGAGGATAAATAAGGAGTAAACGAAGAAGACTATTTACTGTGTATTTAAGAATGCCCTGCTAGATTGCTCTGCCATCCCGGCATTTCAGCAGAACAATTTTATACTTTATCTAAGAATGCCCTGCTATATTGCCTGGTCAGCGGTACATTCAGCAGAACATTTTTACACTATATTTTAGACAGCTCTGCTGGCTTGCCTAGCCAGCAGAGCATTTTTAACGCTCTTTTTAGGACTGCCTTGCTAGATTGCCTAGCCAGCTGAGCAATTCAGCAGAGCATTTTTTCAATATATTTTTGAATGACCCGCTAGATTGCTTAGCCATCTGAGCATAACAACAGATCATTTTTTACACTATATTAAGGAATGCCCTGCAAGATTTCCTAGCCAGCTGAACATACCAGCAGATCATTTTTACATTATATTTTGGAATTCCCCGCTGGTTTGCCTAGCAAGCTGAGCATACCAGCAGAGCATTTTTACACTTTATTTAGAAATTTCCTGCTAGATTGCTTAGCCAGCTGAGCATAGCAGCAGACCATTTTTACACTCTATTTAGGAATGCCCTGCTAGATTGCTTAGCCAGCTGAGCATACCAGCAGAGCAATTTTACACTATACTTTGGAATGCCCCGCTAGATTGCTTAGATTGCGGGTGACCGAGAGACGGATATTCCGATCCGAACCGCAACCATATGTCAGATATTTTTTCTTGCATATTCTAACATATTCCATTATATTTTAAATTCTTTATCTTTAAAATGACGTCATACTAAGCGTGCCATTGTACAGCACACGACTCATCTGGCACACCCCATGCCAGATGAAATTTCCGGCATGTGTAAAACTCACGGAAACGCCAGTCTGATATGCAAGAAAATACATTCCCCTCTGACTGTTAACCATCCGCCATCCTGAAAATTTTATACTGTATTTTATACATTTAATTTTAATTTTATACATAGCGCGATACTGAAACAGATTCCCTACGTTGAATATATATAGAGAGAGAAGACTTAAATTTTAATGACTATTTTTGAGGATGACGATCTGTCTACGGTTTTGAAAGTGAATTTTGTGACCAAGAAATAAACTTCGACACATCTAAAAATTCAACATATAAAAGGTTTATTATCATAAAGAGGTTTTTGATAAGGAATATGTAAGGGAAAAAATCTGGACTTTCATTTTACTTCGACACATCGAGAAAATAGACTAATCGAAGTTCGACTCATAGAAGTTCTACTGTAGTTGTAAATCATGGTAGATGAGGGTATTGTTACATGTGTATACAATAGTTACTCAAAAGAGAACACACATTGACCTGCAATACGTCATGTCTTAATGGCGCCAGTGATAAAAGATTTGGCAGAAATATGAAAAACGTTTTAATAACTAAAGGTGGACAATAAACAAAGTAATATTAAGCAAGTAATTAAAATTTCATTGCTATAAACTAATTTTCCAATAAATGAAGATACTTTCAGGAAAATTGTTAAATCGTTTCCCATTTCATTAAATATTTGGAGCAGGTTAAAATGACAGCATCGAACAAATCCCTGAACATGATTGTTATTTTTGTTCAAAATGTCTCACATTTGAAATAAATTAAGAGATTTCATGTCAAACACATAAATATCCACAACGTGCCGGCGTACCAAATATCAACCTAGAGTGTATTTTCTTGTTTCAAAATTAGCCTGGTTAAAGTGAAAATGCTTCCGTTGTAGGCATAAATGTATTCTAGTGGCTGCCGATTATAGCAAAAATGCTCTGAAAGTGTCTAACATTCTGATATGATATGTTTTATATTTGTATGGCATCTCATGAAACGCATTTTATTTGCCACAAGAAGTCGGTTGACTTATTGAATCTTAAATACGTTACTTAAAGATAGAGATGATGTACATTTTTATCAGCATCATTATGGAAATTAGCATAGTATAAATAGTAATTAAACATTTTCTTTGAAAAACTTCACGTGCATAAGTGTACCTGTGTCAAGTATGGTAACACTTTATGTCTAGTACCAATTTGCAAAATGTTCCTATTTACTTATTAAAACAATTTTGAAATTCCATTATTGTATCGGAATAGAATAAGTGATCTGGAATGGATGTTTTCGTCACGGCATTGAATCTGTGACCTTGAAGTCATAAAAGAAACTGATGTTGATAGCTGTATCGATTAAACTAAACACTTCGATTTGTTGAATGCAGACATAAAGAATTAAAATTTTATAGAATATTTCATGAGCCACTTAGGTAATTGAATATATACATTAACTAGACTATAAAATTGAAAAACTATTATGGCAAAATCTATCGTGATCATGGCTTTGCACTCATAATCAGTGGCCCGTGGAGTGTTTGCGTTCATTGAATGCTGCCCTTCCTTGTTATTCTTTGTTTCCATATTTAGACCTGTACACTCATTATTTTGACTTCGATGGACAATATGTCACTTGATTGTAGACAAACGTTACATGGGCATCGGAATAATTGCGGCCCGACACAGATTAAAGCTAAAGAATGCACAAAATGACAAAATTGAAAATGTTGTAGGCTTGGTTCATGGCCCAGTAATGGAAATTGGCAACTACCGTCCACACCCCCTAGCACCAACTTAAGCAAAATTCAACATTTAACATGAAATGGTAAACTTTGAAATTTAGATACGTCCGCAAATGTGTTCAGTACGGCGGTTATCATGGAATCTTCAATGTGACACGTAAGTGCCATTTCATGAACCGTCCATGAAAAGGCACGCTTAAGAATGCATTTAAATGTTGCTTTTCTGGCGTTATTGAGTGTTTCCGTTTATACGCTAAAAAAAAGAGACAAAAATTGAACAAATACACCAACTCATCTATCTGACTAAGCGGCTCTAATCTATGTGATTTTATTTTTTTATTTATCTATATATTTACTTATTTATTTATTCATTTTTAAGAGACTGTTTCAGCGATGTTTCATTTGGCTGCATAAAAGTCATCTATAGTGATTACTGAAAATTCGTTCTCGGTCACAAGTATAACACATCACACCGTATTACCGGCGGCAGTGATAACAAATAGCTGCAGATAACAGAAATCTAAAATTAACTTATAACGACTGGTAGGTTATAAATACGGTTGATATATTGTAAATATATGATCCGTGCTAACATTGTTCATGAAGAAGTGCATCCAACTAATGTTACAGGTCAAAATGCGATTACTACAACCAAATTGCACTATTAGTAGAGCAATTTACAGAAAAAGAATAAAATTGCTTTGCTTATGATGCATGTAAGCCTGTTTTGATAATAATGTGAGACGGTTTGATCGACAGACCGACAGTCCATTTCTGCCTACAACGAAAACATTTACTTTCTGGCCTGGCTAGTTTGGACGCCTGTAATATTCTTTAGAAAAGGAACATTGCGTTTTAATCATTTGCTTTCATGACCCTAAATGATTGATGTCTATGTGTATAACACGAAATTCCTTCACTTATTTCAAACTTAAGCTATTTTGTATAACAAACAAGCATGTTCATCGACTTTTCCGGAGCTATCATTTTGAAAATATTAAAAATATTTTAGTCACTGGCGAAACGAGTCCAATATTAGCTAATAGTATTTCCCGTAAAGGACACTGAGTCTATGGCAATGAACATGTTTTCTTTTGCAATAAATATATAATTAATACCAAATTTCATAACGTCCCAGTCTTTATCAGTAAATTTTAGATTCTCGTAGTTACTGCATCATTCTGTCATCACTTGCACCCATAATACGGTGTGAACATGCTCACGTGATATTAAAGAAAACGACATGTTTGGTTTCGTGTTATCTTGGTCCGTTATCTAGCTCTTATCAAATTATGGTGTTATACGATTAAATTGTACATTAAACATACATCATAGAGCCAAGTGGAGCATATATATTCAACGTTTAAAGTATGTGTACTTTTATTAATATATTATTCATCATCTTACAGAATACTTAAAATTAAATAAAGATGCATTTTATTCGATTGACGGCTCAACATTTGAAATAGTATCAATTTTCTAAAAATTGAATGTTTCAAGATCTTGATATTGTGTTTGACTTCTTTTTCCTGTTAGTGTCATGTTTACGTAAACTGGTTTTAAATTGTTTATTATTTTTCTTTTACAGACATGATTACTAGTCCTTTGCTTGCTATACTTCTTTTAAATGGTATGTTATCTCAATTTATATAAATAGTCTTATGTTTAAGTAAGTTGAATGCCTATTTTCTACAGAAAAAAACATTTAATCTGAAAAAACTTTTAAGATTGTTAGTGTCCTGTGAAACTTTCCATAAAAATTACTCATTGGCAAATTTTCTGTATTGTGCGTCTACAAAATACAATTTTGATGTCTAAATAAGTACTTTGTATGGAAGGTAGAATACTTCTTTGTTTATACTTTGCTTAATTTTGCTTCTTTTGTGACAAAAGATAAATCACATCAGTTGCTTCTTTTTCTGATTATAAATATGCTATAAAATCATAATTGAAATATGTTTAAACTCTAAAGAAGGATTTTTTCGTTTCTGAGGCATAAGAAACCGTTAATTGCAAACCATCAAAAAATATCATATACTTATTATATCATATTTATATCAAAATCTATCAAATTAGATGAAAATACAATCCTTGTTAACTGGAGTGATATACTTCCTATATCAATAATTCATATTGTGGTTTTCTTAAGTCTAGGCAATCACGATGTCATACTTTCAACTGCTTCACTTTGTGGGTGGTCGGCCAGGGGTGGGGGTGTCGTAAAATAATTACTGCCGTGCTTTAAGGGAGGCAATAATAAGCTGGTATTATAAACACGTCGGGTACTTTTAAAAAGAAAGTGTTATTTCAGTGAAAAACTGGTGATTTAAGGAAAAAACATATTATTCACAAAATAGAGGAAAAAAAATATTCATGAAATTAAAACTGGTTAAGCTTAGGAAAGAAACATATTATTCAAAAAATTAAAAATAAATTGATACCCAATTCACATTGTACAATTATATCTCGTAGATAAAATAAAGAAAATTAAAATCCCTAAAGAAAGCCAAAAACGGCAAAATTGAAAATGTTGCATACTCGGTTTGATTGAGCCTGTTCATGGAACCAACATTACAAAATACGTTTAAGAGTCGATGGAACCTGATTGGTTTTGTGTTTTTAATATTGTCGGACATTATCCGTTGCCTGTAGTAAATATGCTGAAGAAATCGTAGTTTGCTAATTTTCGTATCAAAGATGCATAGATAAACCGTACGATATTGAACACAGTTCCGGTAAAAATAAAATGGACTCATCCGGAAATAAATGAGAGCAGAGTCAACTTGCAACAACTCTGTGTACAGTAAATCTAGTGCATATCTCCGAATTTATTGTCAACAGAGGTAAAGTGGTATCTTGATATATAAAGTCAAATCTGTGTACACGAACCACTGAAGGGAAGAGGTAAAAGTCGCTGTTGTTCATAAATTGGATGCTGCTCAAATATTATAAAGTGTTGCTTGCAGCATGATGTATGAAACACTGTCTTGAGTATGTTACTATTTAATTTTATAAAAACTTACAAATGTGTGTAAACAAATAATATTTTCGGCATTAGCATGTTCGTTTTTAACTAAAAAGAAAATCATTACTTACTTTTCCAAAATACAACAGTCCAAATGAAATTTTACTGTTTTCAAATTTTTTTTAACACAAGACAGATTTTCCCTCACTAAAGGCAGACTTTTCTTTACGTTCCCCGTCCCCAAACACACACACACACACACACACGCGCACACACACACACACACACACACACACACACACACACACCTGCATTCCTATAATTGTTATTTGTGTTTTACTAGGACTTGTTGAAATCTTCTCAGCATATGGCAACACTTTAACATGCCGTGCATGTCACAAAGCAAGTACCCTATCTGACTGCAATACTGTAGTTTCTTGTAATGGAACATTGGAGGTAAATCTATATTTTACTTTAAAAAAAAATGAAAATGTCACAACACTTTTCCCATCATTTTTGTGACTTTCCGGTGAACTGTTGGGCAAAGAGATCTCTGAAATTCCTCGTTATATTAAATCAGTCATAACTATCATTGCAAAGTAGAACTCTTTACATTCTTTATATCAAAAGATCACCCTATTTTCAAGAAAGGGATTTAACGTCCATGGGAGAAGGAATTTATTCACAATCATCGATCCTTCCCAAGGATTGATATATTGTTAAAATATTACTTAGAAAACTTTTGAAATGAATAAATAAACCAAGGAAGTCCTGTAAGGGAGGCTGTCCACGTAGATATGACCGTCACTATAGAATGTGTTTAACCGAACCAAACAGAAATATTTTAATGTTTGGATAATTATGCCTTTTTTCAGGACTGCTATATGGAGGAGATTATTACTACGAATCTAACCATAGTGTATGACGGCGGTTGTAGGTCAAAGGTTGTATGTTTTGTAAATAAACATTGAATGACTTTACTATAATTGTAGCTAACTGACCATGAGCATTGTAATAGTTACAACGTAATCAATGAATCGATTTCCTTATAAAGTTGACTAAGGTTGTACTTATAGTTATGAAAATAGGTTTGCACTCAACTGTATTAATTGTCATGAAACATACCACCAGTGTGAAAAGCGGTATCTATTTACAAAAAGGCTATTGATTTTTTTAAGGAATGCTCACCGTTTCTGAGTCAAAATTCATACAGATGTATAGTGTAATCTGATTGGTTAATTATTTCATTTGCCCGACTTAATTATCTCGTTCGCACGACAAAGTAACCTTGTTCCAACGACTTAATTATCTCGTGGCCACGACGAAGAAACTTGTGGCAACGACATAGTATCTCGTGCATACCACTTAATTATCTCGTGCGCACGATAAAGTAACTCGTGACCACAACATAGTATTTCGTGCGCAATACTTAGTTATCTCGTGCACACGGCTTAGTAACGCATGGCCACGACATAGTATCTCGTGCGCACGGGATAAATAAGAATGCACAAATGTCACCTCAGTGCCACCTTAGTGTACTGATCTATCTGTGTCGTTTCTAGAAATCATATAATAATGTATATCAGGTCCTCGCGAGTATCTTATATTCACTATATCTGCATGCAATAAATATCGCGTAAATAGATTTGCAAATTATTCTTGAATTAAATATGATTTTTGCGAGCTTCTGGAACTTAATTTTCTGCTTAACATTTGCTACCCAGTTTAGTCGTATCATAAATTATCTTACCTACATTTATTAAAGAATTTGAAAATAAATTTTATCTGTGAAAACAATAATACAAAATATCACAACAAGAGTGATATCTCTATGTCAAAAGAAAAATGCGAAAAATGAAACATCTTCAGCAAAATCGCATGTATTAAATTCGCTGAATTTAAATTTCCTCCAAAATCAGGAAATTTGTTGTACGTGAAAATAACCTAATATACGGTATTCCACGGGTAGAATAGAGAAGCAAATAAAAAAGTAAATGTAAACTTTAATTAAAAATGCTTGCTTAATATCATTGTAGGCTGCTTGCAGTACCACCCGAGTTCGAAGGTATCCTGAGCTTGTCGCATGTTCGAAGTATAACTATAGTTCTATGTTGATGTATAAAACTTGAAAGTGAAATTATATGAGACATATATGCCAACCTTTTTAGCAAATTGTTGCAAAATTTAACATAGATCAAACAAGTTTAAGCACTCTAAGCCAGTTTGTTACAACTGAACGTTATATGAGGCAAATTCCATTTTAGTATTGGCCATAGGGTGTTATCGAGAGGACTGTTGGATGTAAAACACAGAATCAACAATTTTTTAACTTTATCAGATATGAGTATAGTTATCAGATGTTGTCTTGTTGAGATTGCACAATTCAAAGTTTGCAAAAAGTAAATGAGTAAACCTTGCCAACTAGAGTTGATAAGAATGAAACACTATGAGGTTTTTATACACTGTTGATTCTTTTGGACTATTAAACATTTGTCAAATCTATATAGAACGAGGAGCTAGCCAAGTCTCATATAGGTTTAGCAGCTGTGTGCGAGTCTAATAAAACGAATACTGTATGTGTAGAAATATTCGCGGGCTTCAAATTTTCGCGATCTTCGCGGTGACATTCGATCCGCGAATTCATGTTCAGCGCGAATATTTCTACACCAATAATTTCTTAATAGTCATGTTTTCGCGCATCTATTAAACAATGTATATCGGTGTGTTCACGGCTGCTATATGTCTGGTATCCGTGGCGTTTTCAAAGAGTGGTTTTACTGTTCTGCTCTGTATATAAATCAGTTTGCTAGTGTATTATCGTTTGACTGATATGATTATCTGATTCTTGTATAAGTATATACATGTTTGAACAATACCATTGCATCACGTTATTTATTTCATAGTCAATGTTATAAACGTCTTTATATCTGATCAGATTATATTTTGTTGTTGTAAAAATACAATACAAATAACACAAACATTAACGATTTTGACTGATGAAAACATGGAAAACAAAACACACTCACATTCAGTGCTGTTTAAAACTGTGAAAAATCACGCACATTAACGGACATTCTTTTGTTTGCCATAATCTGTCCCCTAGACAAATTGAATGTCTTTGTTCTGTACAATAGCGTATTGTTTGACATCAGGTGTTGAAAATAACTGTGAAGTCCCACAATGATTACTGTAAAAAGTATGTTACATGAAGGAAGGCTTCTTGCGAAAACCATATTGCCTAATCGTGAAAGAGTAATTTTTTAACCTGATCGGTGTACGCGAATTTATGATTTTCAGCAGTCACCTCCGCGAATTCAAAATAGCGCGAATATTTGTATAGACCCCCAAAATGGACCTTTCCGCGAAAATTTGCTTCCGCGAATTTAAATACACATACAGTATTGTTCCTAACCGTCTTTTAAGACCCCACAAGTTGTTGGCCTTTTTGTAAGAACTTTACGTTTGGTATAAGGAGGAATAATGGAACTTTGGACTGTAATTTAAAAACAAGGCCAGTAAAAGGGGAGAAATTAAAAAGGTTTTGCTTTTCATGTTACGTTTTGTAGTTAAAGCTGGTAGATAATTATAACAAATTCGTTTCAGATGCTGTGACTTCAAAAACGAGTGTAATAAACCATTGTGTGGAATAAGAGATGGTTTGTTGATTGCTTATTATAGTATATTTTTACGTCAAACGCATCCATTGTCATACTGTTTTTTTAATCGTTCATAATAATGCTCGACGGGACAGTTGGCGTTATAAAAGTATTGACCTTGTTGGGGAACCCAAGTTTCGCTGGTTCGGGCTTTAGATGATGACCATGCTTCTTTTTATGATTTTTATACTGTTAATTTTGATAAATAGTGTACAAAATTTCATATAGTACGTGCTTATAACATTTTCATGTTTTTCAACATTTGCAAAACGCTAATTAGGTTCTCATGCGGTATTGCTGCTTTTATGGACTCCGTATGCTTCCGAAAAGACTAAAGTATTTTTTTCTGAAGAAAGGCAAACATGTTTTCTTAAATTGTTCCTTTTTATTCCTTTCCTTTCTCGTGTTTAGGGCAAGTAGTGTTTATCACCTGAATTAATTAAAAGTGATGTAAGTTAAATATTTGTGACAAAGGAATAAAAAATAAATATTACACGAATGAGGCAGGCTCGGCTGTATCTTTGTGGAAATTGTCTGCAAAAATTAAAGGAAAACTTAAAAAAAAATGCTATATTTTAAGATGTAATGGCATTAAATATATCCATATATTCACAAATCTAATATATGAAGTTCATGTGATATATTTAAATATATTTAAGTGCTTTAAAGGAATTTATTACAATCTATTACTGTATAAAACATTTATTCCGCTACAAATTTTCTGTTTTGATTTATCCTTTATACACCTCACCCTTTTTACCAGATATACGGGTGGATTCAGAGTTGATTGTAAAATTTAATACTTTATTATTTGATGGTTTTACAATATCATAAAAACAATAAAATATTTCTCATGTCCCGGTGTAGACGTCATTATGATGTCATTATTTAGCCACATAGAATCGAATTAGAGTTTTATTTTTATCTTTTAATTTGGCAATGTTTGTCATCTGTTTTTCCTTGTCGTTTCTTTATTATGCCGATGATTGTTGTCGTTGTATAATTATGATGAATGACATTTCATCATGAGAAGATCGTTTAATGTGGTAAGATATTTCAGCAGAGTGTGGCCAATTTTAATGGCTTTTTGTACTCCTTTACAGACAAGCATCCATACCTTAACTTGTGTTCAGCAGAGCGTGACCAGTTTTAATGACCTTTTGTAATTATTTACAGACACGTATATTCCTGACCCACAGTGCTATAATTGTGATCACAGAACATCTGAACAGTCCGAAGTAGCAGATCCGTCTAAGTGTGTAACTCTCACTACGTGTAAACCGGAGGAGGTATTTTCTAAAAAAAAACATACTAATAAGCACTATGCAGAACAGAAATTGTTTCTTTTGTTTGTTTGGGTTTTTTTGTTTTTTTTTTTGTTTTTTTTTAAATCATATTTTCTGTATTGCACTTGCCATTAACAGCAACGATTGGGCGTCTGGTCGGTAATGTAAGGTTTTAAATTACATTTTTACAACATTACATTGTAAAGCAATTTTAGTATTTTAAGTGATACACTTTAAATCTTCAGATGTGCTTTGCAACTGAATCCGATGTTAGCGGTCGGACAATGTTTTTCTACGGTTGTTTGAATAAGGTTGTAAGTAATATAATTCTTCTCTTTTCCTATCTGGTCTGCAATGTATGTACTTTATTTTCTGCATGCATTGTAAATAAATTTGTTAGATAAATAAACTTTAAAATAGACAAATCTATTTTCGAGTATAAAAGTAAATATTTTAGCATGATTGTAATCTATTGGCAATGTTCTAAATGTACATATATGACGGAAACGTACTTTATAGTTAATTTTGATTGCCTCCCCTTTCTATAAGTCCGCCAATTGTATAAGAAAAATATATAGAGGATATTTGTTTGTTTGTATGTAAGATGAAATTTTATTTCATCGAGTGAGCTTTAAAAACAGTATTCTCACGAGTGGCGTAGCCACTCGTGAGAATACTGTTTTTTTATAAAGTTCACGAGATGAAATAAAATTACATCTTACACAACAAACAGACAAATTTTCTTTTTATTTTATGCTTAAAAACAAGTTAAAACGAAATTTCCATAATTTTAACGTTAATATTAAAATCTGTTTCCCCCATTGAGAGCCCTTATTTAGACAGAATTTCTCATTTAAAACAAGAAATCTTGAGCTGAAAAATAAGTCCGCCAATCAAGGTTAAATGACGGTGATATTTATTCATTTTATTAAAAAGAATATGAATGATCGCTTGTTTTAATAATAAAAACAAACAATTCTTGCAGGAGAAAATTCCAACCATCCATCCATATTTCTGTTACTTACTGCGAATTTATATTAGGCCTGGCTTTCTAAAATGTAAACGGCAGCCATTTTTTAAAGTTGTGTATTTCATGGGAGGAAAATAATTGTGTAAGATTCAGAAGGATATAATTTGGATTTGTTAGTCATACACCTTTTTAAAAGAAAGAAAACTTATTTGAGGATTGTAACAGACAAAAAATAAGTGTTGACAGAAGTGAAAACATTCAGAAAAGGAGCTAGGAAAATGGAAAACTTGGAAGCTTGCTGAAGGAACGCTGGGTTGTTTTACTTATTTTACGAGTGATGGCTGTCAATGCTTTTCAATTTATCATAAAGCATACGGCAGTTATTGCTCGTAGGATACTTTAATATGCCCAAATGTCATCAAGAGCAGTTTTGCATGGGGAAGGAATGTATTTTTCAGACTGTAAAAACGAAACAAAAAAAATTTAGAGACGAAATTTGGTGATTGGAATTTGAAGGAATAGAAGTAAGTTTTCTCTCTGTGTTACTTTTGATATTTAAGTTTTTTATCTATTTCAGCTTTGCTATTTCTTTTAACAGCCTGACATTGTCAGAATTGTTCCTTAAAAATAAAATTGAGGTACCACATGGGGAAAATCTTAAAAAAGTAGTTTCGTCATTGAAAAAAGTGAAATTATATTTTGATAATTTTCACTGTGAAATTATCAAATATAATTTTCACGGATAAATCAGTAATCCACTGAAAAGCATAAAATAAAATATTTCATTCAAAACTTTGACATGTTTTATAGAGTATTAACTTAAATGATTATTACTTTCAAGTTTGTATAATTTTAGGGTATCCTTCAAATTGTTTAAATTGAAAATTGTTTATCTATTGCTCACAATTGTTATAAGAGAAATTACATCAAGTAACAGACGCTTATAACACCGTAGGGAACGTGTAACAGTATCGCGTTTTCCAGTTACAGTTTAGAATTTTAAAGATGGAGGATTATTTGTGGGGAGGACAGGTAGGTGATTTTTATTCCGGTTCATAGACATACTACATGTAGTTTGGTTTCTATAAGATGTCTTTGTGCTTTGCTTATAAGGAACAGAATCTGGTTTCTAGTCATATATTTCTTCAGGCCCTGCACCGCAGATTTATTTCTATATTTTTCTCATAAATGTGCAGATTTGACAATTTGGAAATTTGAATCGAGAGACCAACGCATTTTTCTCCTATTCCTACATTATTTAAGCATGCCTAGAAAAAGTAAATCTGCAAAACGTTAGTCCTTTATGTTAGGAAACGTTTATAAAAGTAAATGACCAGTTGAACCTATTTTCTTGTTCGTCAAATGCGTTTGAAAAAAAACAATGTTACAGTATAGAGCGAGGTGAATTTTGCAGGGTTACAGCATAGACCTAGCGATTTTTATCTGATTTTGTTACAGTTTATACCCAGATTTCGGTTACAGCTTAGACTTCGATATTTTCTATATATACTAGGTAAAATGTATGAATGATACATAGACTTTTAAATCTCTTGAAACTCAACGTGTGAGCTTATTTGCCCGATGGCTATTCGTCCGTCTGTCGTACACATGTGTTTACAACCTCATTCGCCCAATTACTACTTGACTCAATGTGATGAAATTTACATGCCTTTCTACCAAAGTTGTTCAAATGGTTTCGGTTGCAATCGGGGATGCGAAAACCCAAAATATAGATTTTGAAAAAAGGCAATATTTAAAGAACCTTATCTCGAACCAAAGGCATTCAAATCAAATCATGATCATGGCGTCATTTCGAATGCTTCTTTGTTGAAGCTGAGATTATTTTGTCATTATTAAATTAAAAGTCGTTTTTTAGCTCACCTGTCACAAAGTGACAGGGTGTGCTTTTGTGATCGCTTTTCGTCCGTCGTCCGTCCGTCGTCCGTCCGTCGTCCGTAAACTTTTACTTTAAATGACATCTCCTCATAAACCACTAGGCCAATTTCATCCAAACTTCACAGGAATGTTCCTTTGGTGGTCACCTTTAAAAATTGTTCAAAGAATTTAATTCCATGCAGAACTCTGGTTGCCATGGCAACCGAAAGAAAAAACTTTAAATATCTTTTTTTAAAAAACCCTAAGAGCTAGAGCTTAGATATTTGGCATGAAACATCTTCTAGTGAGTGTCTACCAAGTTTGTTCAAATAAAAGCCCTAGGGTCAAAATTGGCCCCGCCCCAGGGGGTCATTGATTTTCCCTATATGCATATAGTAAAAAGTTAAAAAATCTTCTTTTAAAGAACCCAAAGAGCTAGAGCTAAGATATTTAGCATGAAACATGTTCTAATGAGTGTCTACCAAGTTTGTTCAAATAAAAGCCCTGGGGTCAATATTGGCCCCGCCCCAGGGGGTCATTGATTTTCCCTATATGCATATAGTAAAAACTTAAAAAATCTTCTTTTAAAGAACCATAAGAGCTAGAGCTAAGATATTTAGCATCAAACATGTTCTAATAGGTGTGTACCAATTTTGTTCAAATAAAAGCCCTGGGGTCAAAATTGGCCCCGCCCCGGGGGTCATTGATTTTCCTTATATGTGTATAGCAAAAACTTAAAATCTTCTTTGAAAAAACCCAAATAGCTAGAGTTAAGATATTAAGCATGAAACATCTTCTAGTAAGTGTCTACAAAGTTTGTTCAAATAAAAGCCCTGGGGGTCAAAACTGGCCCCGCCCCAGGGGTGTCATTGTTTTTAACTATACGTGTATAGTAAAAACTTACAAAAATCTACTTTTAAAAAGCTCAATGAGATAGAGCTTAGATGTTTAGCATGAAACATCTTCTTATGAGTGTCTACCAAGTTTGTTCAAATAAAAGCCCTGGGGTCAAAATTGGCCCCGCCCCAGGGGGTCATTGATTTTCCCTATATGCATATAGTAAAAACTTAAAAATCTTCTTTTAAAGAACTCAAAGAGCTAGAGCTAAGATATTTAGCATCAAACATGTTCTAATAGGTGTCTACCAAGTTTGTTCAAATAAAAGCCCTGGGGTAAAAATTGGCCCCGCCCCGGGGTCATTGATTTTCCTTATATGTGTATAGCAAAAACTTAAAAAAATCTTCTTTGAAAAAAACCCAAATAGTTAGAGTTTAGATATTAAGCATGAAACATCTTCTAGTGAGTGTCTACAAAGTTTGTTCAAATAAAAGCCCTGGGGTCAAAATTGGCCCCGCCCCGGGGGTCATTGATTTTCCTTATATGTGTATAGCAAAAACTTAAAATCTTCTTTGAAAAAACCCAAATAGCTAGAGTTTAGATATTAAGCATGAAACATCTTCTAGTAAGTGTCTACAAAGTTTGTTCAAATAAAAGCCCTGGGGTCAAACTGGCCTCGCCCCAGGGGTGTCATTGTTTTTAACTATATGTGTATAGTAAAAACTTTAAAAAAACTTCTTTTAAAAAGCCCAATGAGCTAGAGCTTAGATGTTTAGCATGAAACATCATCTTATGGGTGTGTGTGTGTGGGGGGGGGGCTATATACAGGTGAGCGACCTCAGGGCCATCATGGCCCTCTTGTTTTTATTTCAGGCATCATGTATAGAAGTTTGCATGTTTCTGAAAAGGAAAATAATATTGAAAGTTATACAATTGTAGAGTATAAATTAAGGTCAGACAATTACAATATCCTCTCCAGTGAGCCTGATGGAGGAACATAATATGACCGAGTGGGATAAGGCCGTTGACTTCAAATCATCTTTCCTCTACTGCTGTGATTGAAATCTCATCATGACTTTTGATTCTTTGTATGTGAGGAACCGATCAAGCTAATTTACGGAAGGTCGGTGGTTCTAGTCAGGTGCCCGCTCGTGTCTGAAATGTTTCACAAAGGGTATCTGGGGTCTTTCTTTACACTAACGCATGAATGTTTTCACATGACCTCAGTGTCGTTAAAACTTAAAATCCAAGAAAACCAAACGAAACAAACCCTTTTTTAATACTTACAAAATACATTATTGTAGATGGAAATTCCAACTTAAAATAAAATTTAAGTTTGCAGTATTTCTCACTTAAATACAGTTCAATCACACTAAGGGTATTGCCTGCTTTTTATTGTGTCTTTTGACAGCTTATCTGTAGTATGCAGGCTTAATCACCTCCGATCCCCTCTCAAAATTTCATTTTATTTAGTTTCACTCATTGTATTATCGTTTAAGGCACACGCAATTTTGAACCTAGGGGTAAAATGCCGCTTTTCAAAGAATTGCAATAACGTGTCACATTGAAGGTTCCATGATAACCGCCATATGAACACATCCACAGATGTTAAAAAAGATATAAAGTTTACCA